CACATCTGGTTCAGCCAAGAGCATGTTTCCATCCCGCACTGCAGTGTGAAAAAATAATAGGAGGAAACTCGACCTACCTGAACCTATCAACATCCCAGCTCTGCCTGAGCATTAATCATTTCCAAGGGGTTAGAGGTTTCTGTTAATGATCGTATTTATTTGCTGCCCAGCTCCGCGTTGGGTGGCGGCAGAGGGGGGTGTGAGCAGTGTCTGACGCTCGGTGCAGCGGCACGGCCGTGGTGGGGGGTCGTGAGAGCCAACCCCAGTCAGGGGTCCAGCTCACGAGTGTTGTGGGGGGGGACAGGGCTGGGGTCCCCACCGCGGGGCTGCCCCCGACCCCGCTCCCAGGGCCTTGCTTGCATTTCCCATCCCTGCCGCTGCCAATAAACGTGGAGCCAGCAGTGAAGCCAAATCATATTAATTAACACGCAGTTAATCAAATCTTCTCGGTGCTCATGGCGCTGTGATCCTGCCTTGGTCTGAGGGATGAATGATGCTCCTTGCGGAAGTACTCGGGCTTCCTTTAACGGGCTGGTCCAGCGCCGCAGCTGGCGGTTGCTGGTGTGGGGGTCGGGGAAGGGAAGGAGCTAACGGCCATGCCAAGTCGAAGTTAACGCCTCTGACTGGGGGTCCTGGGATGGTTCCGCTGGGGAGGGGGCGTCCAGGGCCCTTTTGGGGAGGAGAAGCTGCTCCCGGGCAGGAGCGGTGCCGTGGCTCCCGGGGACGTGCGGTGGCTCCGTGCTGGTGGCTCCGTGCTGGTGGCTCCGCGGGGCAGCGCGCTTGCCGGGGATGTAAACGCACCCTGGGAGGGTTCCCCTGACCCGGCGCGTCTCAAGAGCTCCTCAGCGTGAATAGGATTAGGGACCACTTAAGTCACATTCATTACAGTTAAGTATTTATGAGCTGATAAATATTAAACAGCTGCTCTCTGGGGTTCAAGCCTGAGTGGACTGATCAAAGCACGGTGCACACGACGGCCGTGGCCGTGCTGCTGGGGCAGCAGGAGCCACGGGACGTGGGGCACCAGGGGCGGCTTCGCACGGCAGCGTGCACCCTCCTGACCAGCGCCGAGGGCCTCCTGGCACCTCCTGGAGCACCCGGCACCCTGGGCCAGTGCCACCGGCTTGACGGGTGGGACAGGAGCGCCGGAGTCGCCCCAGCAGCCCGCACGAGGCTTTGCCCTACGCTCTAGCCAGGCTCTCCATCCCCCTTTGCAAAGAAACAGTCGCCGTCAGCCGCGTACCTTCCAGCCCAGTAAAAATTATACAGCGGTCGTTACAATTTACATGCTGGCTTATAAAATTTGCACTTAAGGAAGCGCTTTCCTCCCGACAGTTCCAGCCGTTTCACGGTGTGGGAGCTGCTCAGGGCGGCAGCTGGGTGAGGCAGGAGGTGCTTTTCAGCTCCAGCTCAGGGCCGTACCGAGCGTTTCGTGACCAGACCTCAGTGGTCGGGGAAGAGCCCAGCGCCCACCCGGTGACGTCCCCGCGTCGGGGCCCTCCAGTTCCCCGCTGGTCCCGGTGGCCGGTGACCGTCCTCTGGTTTGGTCGGTGCCAGACCCACCGTGGCTGGGCCTCGAGCCTGGGGCTCTCCTCCTCCCTTCCTGCCTGCCTCGGCCGGAGCTGGGAGCAGATTTACCCCGGGTTGGGGATTAGTCCAGCTAAGCTGGTCTGCTGGAAATCGCCCTGTTGTGTCTGGCAGGACCGGCCGACGTTTCGGGGCTCTCGGGGGGAGGAGGAGGAGGCCAGGGATGCATCGTGGTGCTCACCCAGAGCCTCCGTGCTCAGGGAGGGGGTGGCTGGAGCGGGACGTGTGCTCGGGCCCCCCAGTCCCCCGGGCTGGGGACAGTCACGGCGGGGAGGACCCAGACTGGCTGAGCTGGGGGGTCCCGCTGGCAGCCGCTTTGCTCGGGGTCGGTGTCACCAAACCAGCGCCGCTCCCGTCCTCCCCAAACCGCCCGTCCTGCCTCTTCGGCATGCAGATCGCCTACTCTGAGGCTCTTTAAGCTGCGTTTTAAGAGCTCCTAATGTGATAAGCATTTTCAGTACAGCTCTTCCTGAGCCCTCATTTGCTTACCCTTTGGAAATCTAATACTTGATTTAAGCGCATTTCTGCTCCCTCCATTTGTAAGGACAAATGTAAAGTAATTGTTTGATATTGCGGCGGTTTCCTCAGGCTCCAGCTCTAATTTCCCACTAATACAGTATTGTCAGGGGGATCAATCTAACCTGGCACCTTCTGCCTCCTTGGAGTGGATTGGAAATGGCTTTTCTACTGCGAGGCTGGGATTTGTGAGTCTCACTGTGAATGTTTTTCTCCTTTAAAGGAAAAAAATCATACAAGAAAATATTCTATCTTCCTTCAGACAGCCGTTAATCCCCCGCTCTCCCTCCGCCTGCCCACAGCTGGCTCTGGGTCCCCTCACTGCTGGGGCCCCCCGCAGCTCCTCTGGCTGCTGCTGGATGATGGTGGAAGAGATGCAGATAGGGCTCTATTAGATCTCCGTTAATTACCTCCAATCTGTTCCTATTAGAGCTCGCTGGACAGTAATCACTTCCAGTAAGGCCTCCAAAATGGGTCCGTGGGTGTGTTACATCCCCACACGGCCACCGCCCATCGTTCCGCAGCACCCCCAGCCCCGGGCCAGAGGACGGGGGGGGCCTGGGGCCGCGGCTCCCCGCAGTCACCAGCCCTGGCACGGCCCCCGGGCACACCGGCAGATCCCCCGGTGCTGAGCCCTCCCCGGGAATCCTGCGGTGATGCCGGGGGAGCACAGGCTTCAGCAACACGTGTCGCCCAGCCTGACCCTCGGTGTCACCAGCTCCGGGGGGAGTCGGTGTCCCCCACACCACGGGGTGACACTGTGTCCTCCTGGGTCACAGCCAGCCCGGACAGCCCAGAGCCCGGCTTGGGCAGGCACCAGGGAGAGGCTGGAGATTTAGATGCTCGAGCTAAATCGCAACCTTTGACAGAAACGCCCAAGATTTACTACAAAAATCAATAGATGATTCAAACAGTCCAGGGCTCGGAAAGGCAAATAGCAGCGCTCCAACAAGAGCCGTTATTGATATTCATGACCAGCCGTGCTCATTACTGGGGCTGCTGGCAGGCTCCGGGGATGGATCGCTGCGGGATGGGACGGGATGGGATGGGATGGGATGGGACGAGATGAGACGGGACGGGACGAGATGGGATGGGACGGGGATGGGATGGGATGGGACGGGATGGGATGGGATGGGATGGGATGGGATGGGATGGGGTGGGATGGGATGGGACCTGTCTCTTATACA